TGACAACAGTAAACTTTATGATAAATGAAAAGAAAATACAATGAAATATATATAAAGTTTATAAACATAAACACATACATGCACATCTTTTCTGAAGTTTTCACATTAGGCAAAATGCCGTTGAAAGGCTCTTTAATCAGCCAATCGATAAATCCGTCATGCTCTGGTTCACACTACAGTATCGGTTCTGGGTGTGGTCTTGGAGCAGCGGTCAGAGCGCGACGCACCTTCATGCGAAACACCTTTCGCCCTGATTTCACTGCACTGTCTTCAAAGGTGAACTCGTTCTCCCGGATCGTCGCCCTGCTGTCTTTGTCCCCGGTGTACGTCAGCACATAGAAATCTGGAGCCCACATCTCAAACTCCCGCTCCCAGTTGATGATGGTGGAGAGAGGCGCGCTCACCAGGAAAGGCCCCTTAGAGTGACCCTGAGATACAGAGAGAGAGGGAGAGAGAGAGAGAGAAAGGAGAGAGGGAGGAAAGACTTAGATGTCTTACATGTGATTCACTGAAGAGTCAACATGAGGACATTCCTCCACCCTCACCTCTTTATACAGAGAGTAGAGAAACACTATCGTTTGCACCGTCTTTCCCAGGCCCATCTCGTCGGCCAGGATGGTGTCTGTGCCCTGAGCCCAGGAGAACCTCAGCCAGTTCAGGCCCTCCAGCTGGTACGGGTGCAGCGTTCCTCCAGTGGCGTTGATGTACCAGGGCTGGTGCTCAAACTTGATGGTTGGCTGAGGATGTGAACGCAGTCAGAGGCTAGAGTCAACAATTGAGCCCAAATTTACTGTGACGTATCTAAAAGTATATGCATGCCCAAGAATAAATAAAGGTTAAAGAACAACATCACTTTTGAGAAGGTGACGATAGAAATCTGCTGCAGAACCTGAAATTATTTGACTAAACAGAAACACGGAACTAGGTGGAATCATCTGTGCCCAAACATCCAGGCTTACATCTATGATGGGAGCGTCAGGAGGGACCTCCCTTTTTTGATGGTCCTCTTTGAGTTTTTGTCCTTTTCTCGCCACCAGGGGGCGTTGGTCCTCCCCTAGAATTTGCTCCCTGAGAACAAAAAAAGAGGAAATTGCAGCAACATGATGAGCCAAACAACTCAAACAGGGAAATCGCACAGATAGAGGGCAGGGCAGAGGAGACGCAGCAGCAGATGCAGCCAGTCTTTGTTTATATCTGAATCTCACTGTCGCCTCCAGACCTCGAGGAGACACTGTGGAAATAAGCTGGTTTAGAAGTGTGGTTGAACCAACCTGTGGTCCCAGTAGAAAGCTTTATGACTGTCGTACTCTGGGACGTCAAAGTCATCCACCTCCCAGGTGCACTGGTCGTAGGGCAGGTCTCTCCATTTGATCAGGTAGTGCACATCGCCGTCTTTATCAAAACTACAGGGAAGAATGAGCGTAGACTCAAATTAACATTTGATAACGAGACGCGGCCAAAATCACATGAAGGTAATTTGCTACTTTCCACAACTGTAGAAGTTAAAAGAAAAATATGAAGCTTTTTCAGGTTTTCTGTGAATGTCAAAGTTAAAAAAGCCCAAAGTAAGAAAAGGCTCCTTTTAGAAAACTGAAGCTCTTGTGATGCCTCGTCAGTAGTCCTGCCAATATTTCTACTTCGTCCTGACGTCTCAACGACCGGCACAGTGGCTCGTCTGACGTACTTGTGACGTTAAACATGAATCAGTCGAGGGGGTGAAAAAACAGAGAGGCCTAAGTTTCCTACATATGCTGAAAGTTGTTGACCAATCACAACAGACTGGAGTAGCTGGTCATATATCTGTAGTAAAACATACGATTAGACTATATACTGAATCTGTCTTGAGTAAACGTAAATGTAAATATGAAAAGTTTCAAGACAGGTCCTTTCTGTTCTCGTAAATATCCGTCACTAAGTATTTTCTGAGACTTGAAACACAGTATTTCCCATATTTACACATTTAAATTCACTGTGCACTGAGCAGGAACCACCAAGCACCAACTTGACATCCTCAACCTCAAATCTGCAAAACATCTGGATGTGAGTAACCGGGAGCAGCCACCTGTGGTTGACCACCCGGTGGATCACCATCCACTCGGGTTTGATGCCGTAGCGGTAGAAGCGCTCCTCCATCACGGCGTAATGGGGGTCTTTGCTCTTCCTCTTCTCGTTGTTGAGCTCCTCCTCTCCGGAGCCGTAGTCGAACGGCGGCGGCTCGTCCATGTCGTTCTTTCGCTGGTAGTTCCGATACATGACGGTGTGATACAGCTCCAACTGCACAGCCACAGACAGAGCACAACAATTCTGCTTAGTCTCATTCAGCACCACCTGCTTTTTCTCAAGGACGCAGATAATTCAGCCATAGCATAGAAACTCCTTGAATTCAGTGCTAAAAGTTTGTGCACTGAAATGCTCACGAACTGTTTTTATCTTGAAGACTGACAGCTGAGATATGATCATACATATA